ACGGGGAGGATTGCTTTGGGGAGTAGAGAGTTGAAGTATATATCATCTTTTTGAGTTAAACGGTGCCCCCCTTCAAATATAAACTGACGTGATTCATTGTTTTTTTGGTAAAATCAATTTTCTGAGAGTTATCGACGGTGGATAGTCTAAAGTGGACCACTCGGTAGAATGGATTCACAATGATTACATATTTACTCCTAGGTCACAATCAATATTTCTTTTTTTAATAATTTCCCAATAGTTTCCTGACTAATGAAGCCGATTGATCCAGGAGGGGAGGCGAATCTCTTGTGCCCAGGACCACCAAGCATCCGGATGGTCATATCATTGAAAAAAAATCACCATTTCACACAGCAACTTTCATGCTATTGTAACTTATTCAACTATTTATTTATGTCAGGAAGCTTATCCGGATCAGGTGAATCATATATAACATGTATTACTAATTTATGGGGAATGATCTCGGCAGTGAACATGTAAACATGGGAAATACTCTATGATAATTTGATGAATAATAGTATATTTTTTAACGAGAACGAAATGATAGTCCCAGACGAGTGCTGCAAATCATACGAGTGGGAAATTAGCATTCCACGCAAGTTATACACTATACTTTTTCTACTGCTTCTGTCAAACTACCCCTGAAAAACCACCCCCAACTTAATTTTTTCAAGTTACATCCTATACATTTTTTTGTCAATTATTGAAGTGCAATCAATTCTAACATCAACAAACTTTGCATTTCAATAGTGGGCTATGGATTTTTCATATTATAAAAGTTCCAATAGAGCAATGTCTACTGCCGTCACAACATGGCGCACTCGTCGTTTTCATCAGCTGATCGGGAGACAAACAAAGCTGTATGTGAATTTTGATTTCATTATTTCTGACCCATTGGTGATTTTGTTGAACTTGTAGATATTATACAAGAAGAATGTGTACATTTTCTTTCAAAAAGAGTATCTATTATAAATTACGAGATATATATTAGGTATATTAGAGCTGAACACAATCAAATCCAGTAATTTAAAATTGACAAATAATAGTTATTTAACCAACTAGTGTATTAATGAGGGCGATTAATGATCGAGATATTTTAACGTGCGAGCGAAGCGAGTGCGTTAATGTCCGAGATCATTAATCGCCTTTTAATATACAAGTTGGTTACGAAATTTTTCCGTCGACTATATTTCTCATTTCTCCTGCAATGAAGAAAACTTGGTTCACGAATTCATCATTCATCCGGAAACTGCTAAGAATCACCCAGTAGCCTTGTTACTGACATTAGTGACATTTGACGAAATGATCAACATAGAAAATAAATTCCTTGTGTTAGAAAACAGGAATTAAAATCGTGTCAGAAACTTGGAAAGGCGAACCCATTAACGGAAAATCTTCGATGAAATCCATATTTTCGATTTAAATGCGAATTCCGTAAGTTATAGCATAAACAATGAATGCACGCGGTGTATGTTTGGTTGCCTATAATACAATCGTGCATTTATAGACAAATCGTTCATTAATAGGGGTCATTAATGGACGATTTCATATACATTAAAGTTAGTCGTTAATACGAGGTCGACGGAAAACTTCTTTGGACTCATTCACTTCTCTCACAGGATTCATGATGAATGAATCAACAAACATGTCAATAAGTAAATGCGCCAGGTATTGTTAGTGGTAAATGTGCAAGAAAGTTACATGTACCCTTATGGAAAATGCTTGTCCCCCATCAGGTGTTCGATGGCCGACAATGCTCTATATCTTTTGATTGTTCCATGAAGAGGACAAAACTATTACCAACACTAACTAACAAAACACAAAACTCAGATACCTAATAGCAACAAATAAATAGTAATGAATAGTAGAATAAGAACCTGAATGAATTTTTACAAAAAAATTGAATTTCGAAAGTATTCAGTAACTTATTTATTGAATTGTTCAAATTGATGTCCATTTTTCCTAACACACAATTGACACACTCAATATGTCTCAATACAGTAAGAGGCACAACAATCTTGAAGAACTTCCTGCAACAACAGTGGCAGTTTTCCAGGAATTACAGACATCCTTTAATGATTAAAATCAATTTGAACAATTGAATAAGTTAATGAATAATATAATACTGAATATTTAATTAGGTGCTTATTCAACATTATGAACTTTAATTACTATTTATTTGTTGCTAACTTAGGTACCTACGTTTTGTGTCTTCTTAGATTACTCTTGGTATTGTTTTCGTCCTGTTCATGGGAACATCAAAAGACATTTTTGAAAATTTCATATTCATTTTTATTTTGATGGAAAAAATATGAAATTTAATGAGCTAACTAAATACAGGGTGTTACATTTAATAAGCTTGCGTCATATCTCCAAAACCATACCCCGAAAAAAAATAGTGCGAAACTGGATTCTGCGTAAAATTCTCTATAGGATAAATATTTCATGCGAGATTCTCGCTGAGAAACTTCGTAGATATAGAAGGGGTCCAAAAAGTACAAATTTTCAAAATCGCCCTGTATCTCACGAACGGAAAATGTTATGCAAAATCTGATTATGCCTGGCTGCCTCTCACAAAATGGGATGCACCCAATTCTCTTGTATATTCATGGATGTTTAAATAAAAAGTTGAAGAAAAACAATTTATGACACATGTGAGAAAAATGAAGAGATACATTCACTTCAACAGGCTATCCTCAGAGGCCATTATTTTGATACATATTAAGCTTTTAATCTCGCTTTTAATTTTACCAGTGAGAAAATGAAAAAAGTCATAGGGCCAGTTGTTTATTTCCACGAGAAAGTATGTCTTAGCTGACAAGTTGAAAGAGTTGAGAACCCTCATCAAGGCAAGTAGAGACCCTTATTTAAAAAAAAATAGTGATGAAAGTTGAATAGTCATATTCGGTAGGCTTTCTTTGACAACAATGTTAGGTCGTAGGTAAAATAATACTAATGAAGGATTGAAGGACCAACTTAAATAAGTCTAGACAAAATAATAACGGTTCTAAGCTGGTTTCCAAGAATTTGTTGGCAACATAGTTGTGGAAACATATATTTATACTTCACTAAATATTTCGTGCATGACTTTGGGTATTTCACCAGCTTGTTCAGCAGTCTCCAAATACAAACAACTCTTTTCTCAGGAATCCATTTTCAGATAAATGGAACATGCTGTATTTTAATCCATAATCTGTTATAGATTATTATAAGGAATTCAACAATGGGTTTGATAAGATTATTTCATAGGATTATGAAGATATTCACGTTCGAAATTTCCATGAAGTCAATGAGTGTGACAGAGAAAGAAGTTGTGATATTGCACCTTCACACCCATTGAGCTTATGGAAACTTCGAAAGTGAATATCTTCATAATTGTTTGAAATAACTCAGTGAAACCGAGTATTGTTGAATTTCTTATAATAATCTCTAAACGATTATGGAATAAAATACAGGAAGTTCCATTTGAAAATCGAAAGTTGATGTCATTTCCAGAAAAACAGGAAGATGAAAAAAATGTCCTAAAATGTGAGAAAGTGCCCTCTAGTGAGCATATTCGATGTTCCTAATTTCAGAAATATAGCTAGAAAACCAAAGGAGACAAGGGGGTACACCATGAGTCTATGTAACCCAGTATAGCAACTATAATGCTGGGTTTATAGATTCAATCAAACTAACAATTAGGAATTCACAATTAACAATCAACAATTAATAATAATGAGGGTGTTTATACATATCTGATAATAATTAAAAATTTAAAGTGAAATGTCTTTTGATTAAAGATCAAAACGATGTTACAAAGTGATTTTGGTCTCCACAATTAATGAACCCACAAAAAATATTTCGATTATATATCAACATTTTGTTGTATTCAATTTTTCAAGTTCATAGTTGTTAGTTTAATTCTAAGTTTAGTAGAATCAATAAACCCAGCATAAACATCCACCAACTTCCTAATAGAAAATTGAAATATATTTTTTCTTTCAATCACCAGTAGTAACAGCTAGATGTGATCATACTTATTTTAGATTCAATTCAGCCTAAATTTTGCTTCATACCAAACTATCTCATCCCATTTAGTTTGGAAGTGAGGGACACAATTTACTATACCACATTTAAATTCACATTCTGATGATTCATTCAGAACCCTAATTTATGTATGATTTCCAAGGGTAGCTATGGTATTATCATGGTAGTATAGAAGAAAGTTTATCAGAAGTAGTCTAAGGACTATAGGAAGTGTTTTGGAAATGGGTACATACACAATATGATTCAGTAATAGTCTAACAAATATCCACAAATTGCAGATGTTTCCTAATTCTTCTAATTAATGGGGAATTTCATCTCGAAAATTGAACAAGAAACTGACAAAAAATCAAATACAATTTAGATGCCTTCCACACAGAAATTTGTAGGAGGTGATATCAGAATTGCTACCATGTACAACTTTTAGGTGCCCCAAAAATTGTATTTAGATCCCCAAGTCATGCAGCAATAATAATGACTGTCATATCATAAGAAAAACCCCAATTCATTAGCTCATTTTGCTTATTGTTCATCAGTTTTATACATGTTTGATGTACATTTTTTTCCTATTATTCTGCAGTTACAAATATCTGTTTTGGATTTGATTGAAACAAATGTAAACAAACCAAAATTACAAATAGTAGTGCACAGCTCATGTGCAGAGCAAATTAGTCATAGGTTTCAAATTGATAAGAGATGAATGTTGGCCAAGTTTTCTCAGGACTTAAAACTCATGACTGCTTATGACAATTGTATGAACATTTATATTGAAAAGCAATGAATAAACTTCTAAAGACCTATGACTTAATACTCAAGACTCAAAACTCATGACTAAAAACTGCTGTATAAATCCACCATGAATGACTGATGCCAGTCAATAGTATATGTGGACCTTTTTTATCAATTGAAATATTTGTATTTATTTCAATGTCACCCAATAGAACTGAGAGTCATGAATGAATATTGTTACTCACCTGCTTGGACATCCATTAGAACATGTGGGTTGATCACAGCATTAGATTGGGGGATACTGAATGTTGGGTCTCTAGAAAGATATGTTTCTGGTCCTTGAAAACTAATAGAGTTTGGAGATGCCACAAAATATACTGGTTGTGGGGAATCTTCGCTGCTTGAAGGAGGAGTCAAGATATTGGGATATGAATTCATATCTGAAATTGTAAATGTTATTTCTTCAGGATAAGGAGCACAACATGATATCCTGTTCACATCACTACTTAAAATTATGAATATTCTGAAATCTGAACATGATTTACTTACTGGTTTCAAGTGGGAATCTTAGTGTATTATCTACAATCATGTTTTCCATATACATTATCAATATCAAACTAGCCCTATTGTTGTAGGTACCAGAGGCACATTATTTCACATACAACTCACCAAAAGAGTGAAGTCTATCCAATCCAACACAATATACGTTCTGTTTTACAACAACAATAATATTTTTGCTTGAGGAGTGGGTTAGGTTTTTCCCCAGATTCAGTTTATGGCACGTGAGGGGAATGGCGCAGCAAGAGGAGGGGTTCGGAATGGAAAATAAAAATCCCCTGCATGAAATAATCACAGACTCTGTCACATGGTCACGTGTCACGTCACAGCACAGTATATTATCGTTTCGTGATCACAGTCACGCTCCTGTTCGTTTGTGCTCGCTCTACCTGCTGAACTCGATTTTTTTCTATGACTCTCTCTGTTTACATCATGCCATAAACAGAGACAACTATGGGAAAATAATCAGCTTTAGCAAGTTTAGCAGTACAAACGAACAGGCCTCTAAGGATTCTCTCAGACTCTTTTATTCGTCCAGAGATTCGTCTGAGTAAACTCTCCTTGGTTTGGAGCTCAGTTGTCAGCAGTACTTAAAGTGCTTTTATTTTGTACTAGAATTGACGTTGGAGTAGTAAATTGATTTTCCAAATAGACATTTCTGTATGGGACTTTTTTTCTTGGTACTGTAGCTTTTACAGTGAATTTCATACACAGTCTCCATTATGGTTTTGATAAAGTCACGTGCAGTACGACGAGAAAGTGAACACTCAGTACATACACGTTTTACCAATCATAAATCATAAGGCCTTCTCTGTTTACATGATGCCATGAAGAGAGACAACTATGAGGCAAGTTCCGTGGTGTCAACGTGACAACGGCAACACATGACACATTATCAAATCTTCGGCGATGCGGTCGCGAAACGCGAAACAAAAAAGAGTAGTTCTGTCTTTTTACTTCGTGCTTCTAACGTGCAAAATGCACCTATTCGTGTATTCCAATAATTTCACTTCCATACTAGGGTACTAATAGTGTTAGAAAATACTAAACCTAGTACAAAAATACTGAAAATGCCAACACTGCACAGTTCACAGATGTACAAATCATGAATCATGTCATAAATAGCTACGGTACGTTCGGCTCGGAATAGGATCGTAAGGTGGGTGTTGGCTTCTGTTTTGACCATGGCGGTAAATGAGGAAGGATTGTATCATTGAATGTGGCTGATAGTGATTTACTGATTCGATCATATTCTTGTTTAGAATCGAGCTGGGAAAGTTCTTTGTCGAATGCTTGTATAGGTATTGCAAGAGCTTCAACATGTATCTATCCTTAATCAATCCATTATACCTGTCAGAATGAAGCCGACATCCACTTAAAGCTCTGCCTCGAGACACCGATATGTATAATATATCTACTACTTATATATGAAGCATAGCTCTCCTCCTCTCCTCAAAGCAGGACCAATATCTGTCTCGCCGACGTAGGGAAAAATTAATACGAAACTTGTCAAATCAATATGGCTGTTTCCATTCTTCATTTTCCATTCTTATAGATTCAAAAGGTAATTTTCCTAACAAGTGCAGAAAGTGATTCTTTCCCGCACGCGACTGCCGTTGACACGAACGACGCGAAGTGGAGTTCGGGCAAGCAGTCGAGTGCGGGAAAGACACTAGGAACAATATTTTTTCTACAAGCGTGCGTGATTCACCCTATACCTGCACGCAATTTAGTTTGGAAAGTGTCATTTTCCCGCAACAATGCGGGAAAATTCTCCCGCACTCGACTGCTTGCCCGAACTCCGCTTCGCGTCGTTCGTGTCAACGGCAGTCGCGTGTGGAAAAGAATAACTTTCCGCACTTCTAGGAAAATTACTATTTTTTACAAGCGTAGGAAATTGATTGATTTGTTAAATTAATTATCCATTCATATAGGAACAACTAACATGAGAGAGAAATATATTCTCTATCTACTGATTATTAGTAATAGCTATTGTGAAGTTACAGTTTGACGCATTATGTATAAGTTCATTGCGGAAGCCAGCAGGCCCATAAGGTGTTTGGCCTCTAGGTTTCAGACACTTCTAGGAAATGAGCCAAAAATACTTCTTCTTTATTCGGTATTTTCATTTCTTTATTGTTGCACCATTCAATAAAACGCGTGTATAGCTTCTCATACCTTTCTTAAGACTTCGCATCTGTATCGCATCAATGATGGAAGTAAGATATGGTGCGCATATTCGGCCATAATTACGTATTGAAATTTCAGAAAAATCACTCGACCGGCTACTATGATTTCTCTACGTCACAACGAGTGAGACGTTGATTCTACATTTTCCTGCTAGATGGTGATGCTGCTATTGCTGTTGTGACGAGTGGAAATAAAATGGCAAATGGCATTTTAGGTACGCGGAATAACATATGTAACATGTATGTTACAGTGGGTTTATTCAACTCTCAATTCGAAAAATCTGCGACAATTTCAAAACTGACAGATGTTATAATTGTGCAATGTCGCCATCTATTAGAAGATTGATGGAACCATTGCTCTCGCTGTTCTCGAGAGGTCGAGTAAAATTTCTGAAACAAAAGTGCATCAGTATTTTTTTATCGCTTGGAGCGCACGAAAGGGAATCCCTATAATGTTCAAAGAACATCGTGCGTTCCTAGGGAGGATAGGGACAGGAGGTAGGTATTGGAATTTTTTTTGAACTTTTGGAGAGTATATGTTGTTGGGAATACTTCCACAGGCAATGAATTCCAGAGCCTAGCCGTTTTATGGATGAAGGAGTCTTGATAAAGTGCTGTTCGACATCTTTCGAGGTTGACAACGAAAGGATGTGCTGACTGGGCTTGTCTAGTTCGTCTGATTGGTATTGCTGGTGAAGGGATGATAGCAGAGATTTCCGAAGAACATTTCCCGTGGAAGTATCGATAGAAAAGTGAAAGGTCGCCGACCTTTCTACGGTGTTCCAATGATGTCAAAGAGTGAGTAAGTGTGGCGTCACCCACCAGGCGAATAGCTCTTCTCTGGATGGAATCTAAGAGCATCAGCGTATGTTTTGGTGCTGAACCCCATATGTGGGAACAGTATTCTAGAACAGGCCGTATCTGCGCTTTGTAGATAATGAGGAGCTGTTGAGGTGTAAAGTAGCTTTTCGCACGAAACAAGAATCCGAGTTTTTGTGAGGCAGCTTTTGCGATGGATCTGACATGATTATCTCATGAAAGAGTGTTGCTGATGGAAATACCGAGCATAGATATGGTGGGCTTGGTGGGGATGGTGGAGCCAGAATACAGGCTTGAGTTTTGGTGGCGTTGAAGTCAACTAGGTTGTTGGTTCTCCAGGCTGTGATTTCAGCAAGATCTTCATTGACAGCATTGACCTGCCTGCGCCGTGAGTTCTTAGTTTCCTGGGAAGAAATGGGAATTCTGGAAGAGAACGCAGTATGGAGGGTACCATCATCTGCAAAGCTGTGGATGGGGCAAGTTGTTACTCCCAACCGATCATTGATATGAAGAAGGAATAATGTTGGTGCCAAAATCGATCCTTGTGAAACGCCGGAATTGATGCCAATGGTATCAGACGATACACCGTCCACCACCACGTGAAGTGATCTGCCTGAAAGAAAACTCGATAAGAGATGGCATAGCTGAGGTGGTAAGCCTTATGATGGTAGTTTGTGGAGGAGTCCTTCGTGCCAAACACGGTCGAATGCTTTCGATAATATATGTCCAACGCGACAGCTAGAGATTCCCCGTGTTTTTCTAAAATGAAGCTTGCCATAAATGGGTGACGTAGGCAAGTAGATCTCCAGTTGATCTTCGGTGGCGAAAGCCATATTGTCTATCATTGATGATTCCTGAGCTCTCCAGATATTTGATAAGCTCAATATTGATGGCTCTCTCCATCACTTTGGAGATTACTGATAACAGGGCAATGGGCCTGTAGTTGTTGGGCAGGTTCTTGTTCCCTTTTTTTGGGATTGGTTGGATTCTAGCTGTCTTCCAGCATGATGGAAAAATACCCAACCTGTACGAGACGGTAAACAACTTGCAGAGAATCGGTGTTAATTCTGGTGCACATTTTTTGAGGATAATAGGTGGGATTCCATCAGGACCGTTAGCCTTATTCGTTTTGAGACTAAGCAAAATTCGTCTGATAGTGCGTTGATGAAAGACGATTTCGGGCATTCGACTCTCAACGGGTGGAATATCTGGCGGAACTTTTTCTTGGGAATCTAAAGTAGAGTTTGCTGCAAAAATCTCTGCAAAAAAATTTGCTTTCTCCTGCGATGTTGTTGCTAATGTGCCGTCGGATTTGAACAGTGGTGGAAATGAACTATTAGTGAAATTTCTTCCGACCGCTTTAGCAAGGACCAAAACGAACGGGAGCCATTGGGGCAATCTATGAGTCTCGATCTTATCTTGGCATTGTATGTTTCTTTCGAAGCATCTATTGTTTGGCTGCAGTTATTCCAGGCATCAACGTATTCTGCTCTAGTCGCGAGGTTAGGGTTTTTGCGCCAGCGATGGTAGGCTGTTTGTTTCAAGGCAACAGCTCTAGAACAGTTTTTGTTGAACCAGGGTTTCGAAGGTGATGATCTTTTCGAAGAATGAGGTATGTATGTGTCCATTCCGAGTATGATGATCTCGGATATTTCCGCAGCACACTGTGATGGGTCCTCAGAGTCAAAGTATACTCTATGCCAAGGAAACTCGGAGAAAAACATGCGGAGACCGTCCCAATCTCCTGAATTGTAATGCCATATAAGACGTGGGGGTGCCGGAGCAGTTGATGGAATGAAAAATGGGCAGGTTGTGGAGATGAGTGTGTGGTCAGAATTGCCAAGTGGAGCTCGTACATCTAGGTGTAGGGTGCTGAATTATTAGTGAGGAATAAGTCAAGTATGTTGGCTGAATGGTTATTGGCATCGGGAATTCGTGTGGGTTCTTTGATAAGCTGCTCTAAGCCGTGAGTGATGGCGAAAGCTTTGGCTTGTCGCCCAGCTTCATCCGTTCTGTTAGAGTATACGAGCCAAGCAGTACATTGAAATCGCCCATGATGATGATTTCTGCTGCTGGATGGTTCTGTTGAATTTGGTCAAGCTTCAGAGACAAG